TTTTTTATTTATTTTTGGGACAGAGAGAGACAGAGCATGAACGGGGGACGGGCAGAGAGAGAGGGAGACACAGAATCGGAAACAGGCTCCAGGCTCTGAGCCATCAGCCCAGAGCCCGACGCGGGGCTCTAACTCACTGCGAGATCGTGACCTGGCTGATGTCGGACGCTTAACCGACTGCGCCACCCAGGCGCCCCTCAGAGTTGTGTTTTAAAGAAAATATTTTTAGCCTAGTATGTAAAGGCTAGTGTGATATCAACATGCATATAATATACTGGCCTGAATATATAATTAGATATAATTATATGTTGATTACAATTGCTTTGATTTTATGCTTTTAGATCTCTTCAGAGGTGTATCTTTTTAGCCATATTAAAGGAAAAAAACACCAGCAAGCCGTAAGAGAGAATAGCAGCATTCAAGGGCGTGAACTTTCAGATGAAGAAGTGGTAAGCTTTACTTCTGTTCATTTCCACATATTTATTGAAAACTCAGTATGTCCTATATTATAAAGAATTCCATGTTCGGTTGTGATTATTTAAAATTATATTTAACATTTAATAACTATTAAAATATAGTATACAAATATGTCATTTAGTATACAATTTAGTGCTCACTTTGACAGTGCATATACTAAAATTTAGTATACGGTTTAACAAGAAACAGAAATAAGAACAATTTTACTGTAAAAAAAGGTCATAGTATTTTGATATTTTAATAATATACAAAAGAATTCTTTAATGATGCCCTGCATTTCTTGGAAAATAATTAACAATATACATGTCATGTAAATTGATAATTTTATGAGTACAGTATTTAGAAATTTTTGGAAATGCATTATTTATCTACCTATAATTGCTTACAGTGGAATTTAGATTTGTATGAATATTTTTAGAAATATTTTACATTCAATTGTTATCTAGACATGGATGACATTGCTAACCTATGAATTTGTTGGTTCTATTTATAATAGCAAATTTCTAGAGCTACCCAAAGATGAGACATTCATGTTTGTGAAGTATCTCTTAAGGTGCCCAGGAAAAGTTATTATGGTTCTAATGAGAGCAGTAACTGTATATACATACATGTGTGTGTTTAACTCCTGTTCCCCAGTGTAACGTATATTAATAGAGTACACAAATCTCAAGTATACAGCTTGATTAATTTTTACATATGTTTCAGTCACATCAAGATATAGATCATTTCTTATACTCCAGAATGCTCCCTCATGCTCCAACCCAGACATGTCCCCAAGCGGTAACTAGTCTATACCATCAGTTAGTTTTCCCTGTTCTGGAACATTCTTTAAATGGTATCATACAGGGGCGCCTGGGTGGCGCAGTCGGTTAAGCGTCCGACTTCAGCCAGGTCACGATCTCGCGCTCCGTGAGTTCGAGCCCCGCGTCGGGCTCTGGGCTGATGGCTCAGAGCCTGGAGCCTGTTTCCGATTCTGTGTCTCCCTCTCTCTCTGCCCCTCCCCCGTTCATGCTCTGTCTCTCTCTGTCCCAAAAATAAAAATAAAAATAAAAAAAAAAAAAAACATAAATGGTATCATACAGTATGTACTTTCTGTGTCTGGCTACTTTCACCTACCCCTAACTCTGAGATTGATCTTAAATGTTTATGTGAAGTTGTAGTTCATTCTTTTTCTTAGCTTTTTATCAATGCTCTCCAGGTGAAGACCATCAGGAATATATTTGTAGTTGAATAAAATAGGGTTTTATTTATTAAAGAATGGAAAATGTATACTGTGGGGAATTATGGAGCTTCTCAAATAAGGTGTTAGAAAGGGCTTATAGGATTTGGGCTTGTGCTAGGTGATTTGGTTGGGGAGGGGAAAGTTCGAGGACTTGAAGCTTTGATCTGGATTGGATGCTGTCAGGAAGCAGGGGTAAGTCTGTGGTTGGTTCTTAATAAATCAATAAATCTTACCTGGGTAGGAGGACTGAAGCTACTGTTTTCTCCTGAGTTTCTGGGTATGACCAGCACTTGATGGGAAATTGCACATAGTTATTTGGGCTTACTTCTCTATGATTTCCTCCTTTTGAGGATATTCCCCCCTCAAGCTCCAGTGGCTTTGGCAGCTCTAAACCAAATTCTGTCTCTTCAGCTCAGTAAGGCTGCTACTTTTAGTTTGCAGTGTCTCCATGCCAAAAATTGGTATAAGCCTTTCAAGGAAAAATCCAGAGTGAATGTGGAGCTTACCTCATGTGCTTCCTTTCTGTTAGGGATAATGGTCTCTCAAGTTCTGGCTCTGTTGGCTGTACTGTAATGCCTTCAAATTGATATTTGGTATACTTTGTACAACGTTTGAGTTGGGAGATAGTCCAGTCAGTATAAGCGAGTCCACTGTGGCTGGAATTGGAAGTCTCCTAATATTTAATTCCTGTATACACATTGTTTGACATAATGCTTGACACATGGTAAGGTATTTAATAAAAGCTCGTTGAGCTGAGTTGAACTGAGAGCTTCTACTGAATGGCTTTAGGTACCTCTAATAAAACATGTAATTAATCATCTATTTAGTTTACCTCAAATAATTTTTTGTCTTTTACTCAAATTGTATGAGTATTTTAAGAGTGAATAGTAAGGATTTTTTTTTATTTTACTTGAATCATTCATGTAATTTACCCCATTCACTCTTTAAGTTTGCTGTTTAGAACAAGAGTCATGTGTATGTGTGTGCCACTTTGAAAAAATCTTAAATTGCTTTCTTTAATTAGAATTTAATTATTCCATTACAAATGAAAATTTTCCATTTATAGAAATTACTTGTAATTCTCTTAATTAAAAAACTGTATTATTTAATTTACAACAGATTATTTAAACATTTTCTGGAATGTTGCTGTTATATAAATTGAAATCTAAATTTTATGTGTTTTACTTCAGTGAGAAAAGTTGAGAAGGAAAGAATAGTTCATGCAATTTGAAAGAAAAATGTGCAGTATTGTCTAACTTTTGTAGCTCTTATAGCATAGCCTGATGTTTAGCTGTTGTGATTTGAGATTTGGTTGATGTGTTCATTTTTTTATACTATTTCAGTTGAATTAAATTTTCCTTAAGTTCTCACTTAATTCACGTAGTTATTCTGGGTTATAGCCCTTTCTTCCTGAAAACAAACATGTGATATAGGATATGAGTTATGTGATATAGTAGGGCAGTTTTATGTTTACTCACATGGAAGTTTCATTTTTAATCAGTGGAGGTATCTGTAGTAAACATACTTGTTCTACTTAAAGTTATTACTTGTCATCTGTGATGTCTTTATGTTATATACACCTTGTCTGTGACCCTTCTTCCTTGACATGTAAGATTTTATTTATACCACCTCTGACCTAATAAAATTGTACCTTTGACCTTATGCACTTGACATATCAGATAACTTACTCTTGATCTTTGACACATTTTTTTTTTAAGCCTGTTAAACGTAATAGGTAGCTGCCTGGCAAGAAAGGTATAATGTTTTGTGTTTTTGTTGTAATTTGACTGGGAAATTTTTCTTGTTTTTTTGAGACTTCACAAAAAGAGCTGTTATGTGTTTGATTTTTTTTCTCTTTCATTGTCTTAAAATCCAGGTGTTAAAAGTAGCTAATTTTTGAAGGTCAAAACAAATGGGTGCTAGTTTAAATACATTCCAAAATTTAGTTTTTATACATTGCTAGAGAAATAATGAAGTATAAGTTTTAATTAAACCTCTGATTTCTGAGTCATCCTCTTTTCACACCAATATCTAAAGAAGCTAATAGTGATTTTTGTGAATATTGAATGAAGTACATCCAACCTTATATAGAGAATGAAGTGAAAAAGGGTTTTTTTTTAATCCATATTTTTCTGTTTGTGAGACTCCTTGGTGTGTTTGTTAACCTGTGTACTTAAGTAAATTTTATTTTCATTTGGTTCATGGATGTATAAAAAAGACTTTCATGAAAGATCTTAACTATAATTTATTGGATGTTTACAACCAAATGTGATTTTATGAATCCCAAATTAGTATTTCAGCTTGGAAAAATTATGCAAATTAGGTGATTGAAAGAAAATGATGTTTTAAGTTAGCAAAAACATGAAGACATTACTGTACTTAATGAAATATAAGCTTATCTCTTTTGCCAGAGTGTGCTGGTGTTGAGGTGAAAGAAGTCTCCTAGATATCTCCTAGAATTGATGACAGTCTAGGAAATAATAGATAATTCCTAACAGATTGGTTCATTTCCTTGCCTTGCTTACCTTTGTTTGTAGAAGCCAGAAGTATTTGTTGTCTTTTTGTAATCATGTTAGGAAAGCATTTTGTCTGCTTCTCAACAGAAAGTCAAGTCAAATGAACAAACTGGGACTCATTTAGAATAAATATTTTTCCCCCAGTACCTCAGTTAGGTACACTTTAAGTTAATTTGAGAAATTATCTAAAAATGCCTTACCCTTTCTTGTAGGATATAGCTTCCATTGCCTTTATTTTCTCTTTAATAGGATGGGAAAATTTTTGTGGTGTATGTGTATATGTGTGAGAGAGAATGTGTGTGTGAGAGAGAACATGTGTATGTATTCAGTATGTAACACACATATATAGCTGATTGTTAACATATAATTCTTCTAACTTTTAGAATTCTTATGGTGGTAAATTCACCACATTGGAACGCGGGCATGCAGAGGCATGTAGCTATTTATCCGTGCTGATTTAGTCTTCTTCATTGGTTTAAGGAAAAAATTTGAAGTAGGTAACCAGTTTGTTTTAAACTTAGTTTGATCCAATAATTTAAACAGTTTCTCTAGTTTGTACCTAGCCTCATTTGAATAACAATCCTTAGCCCCTATCCACTTGCTTATCTCCTTAAGATAGCATCTATGTGTATTGGAGGAAGAGTATGGCTTACTTGACCCCATATTAAGAGGAAAAGTTGAGGTCTTTCTACCAGATGTCTTCTTTCTTTTCTGATTTCCAGTGTGAGACCCTTCATTACCTGTTCACTTAGTAAACCAGTCATGAAGAGTGGCTGGTGAACTCTTGATCTCTTCTTTCCACTTAGTGTTACAGTGGAGCATCAGCCATTTGTTTGCCTCTTCCTGACCAGGTCACCCCTCAGTCCTCTCTGCCCATATGTCTCCGAGTCTTTGCCATAACCTTCATTCTGGCCCTGACAGGCCTACTGGCTTCTACCACAGGGTTCATACCACATAAGAACTAAGAACAATTTGGGAAAGCTAAAACACAAGACATCTTCCTGACCACCTAGCAAGGCCATACTAATAGACCTATTTGGTGACAGGGACAGATGGAGACACTTTCTTTTGAGAATCAAAATTATACTTTGGGCATTACTGTCACTTAGCTAACATATTATCCCCCTTGGGATATACATTAAAACTTTTTTTTCCCCCTCCTTTTATCTTCAAAATGTTTTGGCTGGAAAGAGATAAAATTTCCTTTAACCACTCCTTCCTCCTCATTCTAACC